TGGTGCACCTACCCCAAAATGGTGCCATTGGTTTTGATCCACAGCCAAACATTTTGCTATTGGATCGAATCCATTGAGCTCCGATGGTGCCTGAAAGCCATCCATAGACTGCGCGGCCAGCAGCGGCCGGGTGTGGTTCGTGGGCGACCTGCCAGGAAATCCACGTCCCGCTGGAAGAACCCGCGCAATCGAAAGCCACGTGGACACTCTCTTGCAGGGTTGCTCACAAAACGCCGAGCCGGGCCTGGAAGGAAAGAGCAACAAAGAATAAACAAACATGTGTGATTTAACAAAAAGCAAATAATACATTATAAGCAAGCAGACATCTGTGATTCCATCCATCAACTTCTTACCATCGCGGGGAAGCATGTCCGTTTCGGGTAGGATCAGGTGGCTGCATACAGCATACAGGACCAAACGCAACCTGGAAGGGTCGTACCCTCAATCCAATTTTGAAAGCTGACAGACCGGCAACGTCCACGTCCACGATTGCCGGAGAGAGGGTAGGCTAAAAGAGCATCATGCAAGATTCAACCAGTCCTCTCCACTTCCGGTCATAAGGAATTCACGCAACTGGTTTATGTTCATCGCCGTCAAACATCAATGTGACCGCACTCGCAGCGTGAACATCATGAAATGTTGTCAATGCCCTTGTTGGATCAGTTTTCCATTATGGTCGAGTTGTCGACCAAGATTTCCAATCATCATAAAGTACGCGAATCAACACAATTGTGGATGATTGTCTCATCATCTCCAGCAACAGTACGACAAGCACAAACACTGCCCTGCCCTGCATCCACTACAACCAAAGCGACCACGTCCAAGTCCACGTCCACGTCCACGACCACGACCACCAGCACCAGAACCAGAACCAGAACCAGAACCAGAACCAGAACCAGCACCACCACCAGCACCACCACCATGAAAATTGCTACAAGCGCCGGCGAAAACGCACAAGCTCTCAACCTCCAAAAGGCAGGCCCTTGCAATTCCGATTCTCTCGGATAACCGACGTCCAAAACCTTGTGTCACTTGCAACCCGTGTTTTTCCATGAACACTAGGATCGTCATTTTCCTGGTTGAACGAACGAAGAGTCAATTTGCTAGGCTGACACACACACACACACATAAATCCAGTGGTTCCGGATCGGACATAGGACTATCTGAACACGCGTAGCTTTGCAGAAAGACATGTACTACTTAAAACAACCAGGGCCAACGGCTCCCAATTGACATGTGGCTCTTGGTCCCCAAGGGGGCACAAACAAAAGCATCGCTTTTCCGGCACCTCCAAAAGGGCCTTATGCAAGAAACCTTTTGAATTCTTGCAAATCGTAGGGTTCCCCCAGCAGGGATAGTCCGAGATAAACCCTGAAGACTTTATTTACTAGGAACGGCAGTGCTTGCTAACCTCCTTCTTAGCACCAGTTTCTCTCACAAAAATGTTGCGCCGCTGCTTAGCCCTTGCAAGGACTCGGGGCTTTCATGACAACAAGCTCTATGGGATCTCCCTCTAGTTACTTCAATCCGCCAACTTGGCCATCCCTTGCGGTCACTTTTACGGGACGGGCAATGACCCACGATATGGATGATTTACCCTCGCAAAAAAAAGGCACCTGATGTCTTTGCAAACCGCAATTGATCTTCCAGGTGCACTCCGGCAGCTGCTATGCTGATGGAAAGACGTGTAGCACCCAACATTCCTTCAAGCACTGAAAGCCCGACCGACCCACAGTTGACAAAATACGTCGAGGCTTGGGCACGAGCGCATTCCCACGCTGAACGGCGGCCCTGTCGGAAGAAGGGGGTGAACAATTGCCGACTATAAGGGCCTGAATGATTACAGCATGATTCTCGTATGATCATGACTGAATGTGGCTTCAAAGTACCCCGCAACCCCATTCTAGGCAACCATCTGTGAGCCCGTACAGCAAACAGAGCCCAGGAAGCCTTTTTGGACATTCAATCAGGCTCCATTTTAGTGGATGGGTTAGTACAGGTCCCTTGCTGATCCTTTGCACTCCCCCCTGAAAACAACAAAAAAGTCGAAAGTAATTCGGACCTCCCAAAAGAAAGTTGTTTAACACGATGATGCCTGAGGGCGCACGCTGGCCTGCGTGTGTTCCAGCGTCCCAAGCACATTAAAACGGTGAGTACGGCAACATACCGACCCACTAGAAACAGTTTTACTAAGGCTACCAAGGGCAACTCACCTTGAGAAGACACCTTTGATGGCAAAGCATTTGCAATGGTCCCCCAGCTTTGATGCACACACACACACAGAGTTGCATATTGCCTGCCATATGGATGTTTGCTAGACTTAGGGACCCTTTCAAAGGACGCCGTGGGCAAACACGGGCCAACATGCAGCTAGAGACTAAACCCAGGGTCCAAAACCCAGTTATGACAAGTCTGCGTCCAGGCAAATCAGGGTAACCTGCTTAAAGTGCCATTCCCCCGCACCCCATCATGCAGGTGTCCAATTCGTCTGTGGCGTCCCTTCATTCAGGCTGTCAATAATGGCGAGCTGCTATGAAAAGTGCCCAATTTCCCCGCTACAGGTTCATGACCATCCCTTACACACGATTGGGGCCGGGGACAAGCCGCGGCGCTGAGAGTAAGTGTCCGAGTGGAAGATGCCCGCCAAGTGCAACAAATAACACATAACAATATGTCCCACTCAGCAAGTCGGAAATCCCGCCTTCGGCGGCTGTGTGGCTATGAGCCGCTATCGCCCAGTGAACTAAATTAACATAAAAAGGGGCAAAGCGAAAGTGGTAGGTAGACCGTGGGTGAACTTGAATGGCTTAGATGTGCGAGCCCAGAAAGGCTTTGTGAACGTTTGCGAACCCAACCGAGGCGTGTGAATGTTTACGAAGGCAAATTTACACTTTAGAAGAAAAGGCCAGGCGAAGCTGGCGAACCCATTCGCCCTTGCCAACCCCAGCAGGCTAGGCGAACCTGCGCGGACGCATTTCCGCTGTTCGCGTTCCGTACTGACCACATAGGTGTTACCCCGGCACAAAATACACAGGGGCTTGAGGGGCTGTGCAGCTGTGCAGTGAGGCAAATAAGCTTAGTGACAGAGCAGGGCAATCTGGGATTAACTAACTCGGCCGAGGTCAAATGCCCAGCCCCCAAGCAGCCCCACAGATCTGTGCGCCGATTGTGCTACATCCAGGCAAGCAGACCAAGCAAAGCCCACCACATAGGCTGCTAAGGTCGCTCGCAGATCAACTTCACATCGCGTGTTACTATGTGATGATCTCTGCGCCGCCCTCATAGGACCCATAGCCCGAGTGCAAACATGCATTCCGTGGAATGCTGCACGTTGAGCCGAGCGGGTTATGGTACAACTGCAGACAAACAACTACGGATGAAAAGCGAAGTGAAGGCCAACACGCCAGCCGCTAAGATCGTTTTCTGATCCCTAAACATGAAACCGAACACTGCGCATCGCTGCTTGAGGATGCTTCCGCGGGTGTGAGTGACCCAGTCCAGAACCTCCATCAGACTGACCTGAAGGTTTCCGTCGCGGCGGAGCTGCGTGTTTGGATCCGCGGCAAGTCTTCCTCTGCCAGTCCGAATGGGCAGCGATGACTTCGGAGCCGGCACCGAACGCGGCAACAAATGGTTCATGGAGAGTGTCAGCCGATTGGCCGAGGACGACATGTCCGGAAGCCATGGGCTCAGGAATGGCGACCCAAAGCGAAAGCCGGCGGCGGTTTTGGGCCCCAGGACTGCATGGTCCATGGCTGCTCAGTGCGGACGGCTGGGAGCGATTGACTTGCAATATGCGCATACGATTCAACAAGTCGGCAGCAGCTTCTGCAGCTTCTGACAGTTGAGACACATACAAACAAATTATTGAATATGAACTAAATGGATTGAGTGGATGACAGGGGGCAGACAGCAAGACGCCTACCCGAACCGCTATGATGCACATCAGCGTGCTGCATGCTCCTTGATTCGGAAATACATGAATGCTTAGCCTTGCGAGTGGCATCAATAAAATAATGCACTACAAGAGAAATCAACAAGATAACTTAATAGACATAGTTACACAATATCCAGGCTTGTGTCACGATTCTCCTTACCCTCGCACAAACACGAAAGTCACAGCCCATGTGTCCAAAAGGATGATTTGTGCTATTTTGTGGATACCGTCTATTCTATCCATCCCTTCGGGTTTCTCCCTTCCGTTTGTCAACACAACACCAGAACTAAATGCATCTTTCTTGGCTCCATGCATACATGTGAGTGCATATATATATATATACACACATGGTCAACCCCCCATGATCCACAGCTAGAGTGGTATATGTATATATATATATATGTATGTATATATATATATACATGTATATGTCTATATATATATGTCTATATATATATACATATATATATATATACACATTACGTGTACATCATATTACAAATACGTGGCTCCAAGCCGGCCCAGCCCCCACCTGAGCGGACTCCTCCCTCCGGAGTTCTGCGCCACCGGTGCTTGGGGCGCCTGGTGCAGCTGCCGGGCTCTTTCCGTGAGATCTGACCATGTTGGTTGATACTATGGACGAAATCCATTTCGCACCACTTTGAAACCCTGGGAAACCATAACGTGTTGGTATGTACAGGGGAATCATTCATTCCAGGGTTACTTAGGTGGTGCAGGATTTCGTCCATCCACAGTAGTACCAATGCTGGCCCATTCTTGCACCATTCTCAAAGCCACCCTTCAAATGGTAAGTTAAAGGGAAATACCCCCATGTATATTCTGACTTTGATAAGACAGAAACAATCATTGTGATGACCCCGGCAATATACCAGGGAAATTAGTTGGGTTGGGTAAATTAGTTGGGTTTAGCGGCTCCATGGGCTCTGCGTACCAACTCCATGCAGGTGAATTGGTATAAGCCATTGGAAGTGCGGCGAAGAAGAAGTCTTATATTACTGCTCCTCCTCCCACGAACGGGCGGACGCACAAAATCCTGCACGACTTGGGATGGATGAAAGCCCCTGAACACTGGTTGATAAACCACCTATGCAGGATTTGTCCACAATCTCGCTACCAAAAACCGAGGGCCCACCAACACAAGATACCCTGCAAGAAACATCAGGCCTGCATTTACCTAACACTAACACTAACATTTTCCAAATCCGGAAAAATGTCGTGCGGAGGCTCGGGGAAGCATCAAGGCTGGGGCTGATTGGAAACCAAAGCTCGTTTTGGCGACATACCACCTTAATGTGGGGTCAATAATCATTAGGACTGCTCCCTGCCGGGGGGGGGGGAGACGCGACAACAGCCGTTGATCCCAGTAGCCGTTTGCAAATCGTGCTGCAAGGGAAACCAAGCAGCAAACTTACAAACTCGGGCTTGCACTGTTGCTTCGTCTCTCCGGACGACACGAAGCACGCTGTTAATCGCCGCTGAACCCTTTCTACAGAGCCAGCGCTCCACAATGCATCTAGCCCTCCATATGCTCGAGTCCCTGCAAAAGTAGCAATAAGTCCTCCATGTGCTTGAGTGCCTGAAAAAAATAACAATACTCCAGTAGTGATAGACTCCCTTTAACGCCAACAAGGGAAAACATTATACATTCTTGAGCAAATGGAAGTGAGCAGTGGACCGACAGAAGGGTTCATCCTCAGGCCCAAGCTAACGCCATCTTGGGTGCTTCTGCTCTGTGGAAACTGAATGCGTGGACTCTCAAACGAACAGCTTGCGTGCAGGGCACCGATAGGAATTCGTATCCTTTTCGCGATTGAGGTCCAGCCAAGAGAAAAGGTTCAAGATTGAACTATCCCAGCGATCAGTCAAGTCGCCAACGAGTCCTTCCTGTCGACTGAGCCCAACATGGGGAGCAGCGCGGCTTTAGAAAACGCGCACCCAAACAGACAGAAGCCCGGCCCCAGCAAAGGGCACCAAATGCAAGCGGGTAGGCCACCCAACCCAGCCTCCGCTTGCGGGGAGACATGGGCTTGCCTCTCCTGAATTCGCCGTCGGATGGACTCGTCATTTTGGAGTCGCAGCAAACAAAGTCTTAGACTCAGATGCAGCATGGTTGCCCTCTCTCGGGTCTGCATAGCTTACAGCATTTGGAGCTACACGATCTGTTAAAGGCAGTCAAAATAATACGTCAGCCCGGAGCGTCGGGGCCACGACTGGGGCCCCAGTGACTATTGATCTTAGCGCTTCTGCTGAGATCGTTCGACCGAAAGGCGCGCATTCTCAAGCCACTGGCGTGTCGCCAAACCGCGCCTCTGCGCCCGGCGCTCGGCGGCCAGAACTCGGATGGGCAGGGGCTCGGATGGGCGAGGCTGCCTCCCTTTGGATGTGGGGGGGGGGGTAGTTGTAATTGCCGCATTTTTGTTTGGAAGGGTGTAGAGGGAAATCGTAAATCTGGTCATTTACCTCTTAAGGGTATGATCTCCAAGAAAAGGCAAAAGCGACCGACCGGCTCGCCAAGTGCATCCAACTGTGTGTTCCCGCACATAAGCCCACTTCAGAAAGTATCAGAATATGTCGGGAACTTGTTTGTGGCCAGAGGGTTACATCTAGGAGAGGCCAACCCATCGTACGATTGTTGGTGGTCAAATGCCAAATGATGGCAGCTACAAAAAGGCCAAGGTTTGAGATGAGCGTGTCCTGCAATAGACCCGAAATGTACTTGCTACCCCTAACTAGGCGCGATCGGCGCCTCTTGAAATTTGTGGGCCTCTTTGGGATAGCCCTTCAAAGCCAAAAGAGAGTTGGCCAAGTTTGGCAAAGCGTCTTCTTGAACCACTCTGCAACAGGGTTTGCAGGTCAAATGCACTTGTTACACGTAGCTTGTTGCTCGAATAGATGAAAGGCATCAACATCCAAGTCACACACCAGCAGTGAAGATCGCGAGAAGAAAGAAACCCGTATGGAGCTCGAAAATGCCAACTACTTTCGCACTGTGCTCAGGCTTCTCCTGGACAACTGGCACAAAACACATTGAGCACAGGGATGTTGAGAAGCTGTAAATCAACAGCATGGGCATGATAGCATTAGTTTCAGATCTGGCTGTATGACTGTAATCAACAATCTTTATGGGATGTCCTCTTGATATTCGCGCAAGAAGACCTACACATGCGTCTTGGAGGCTTCTCATACTGCACCAATGAACACATCACGTCAGCTGGGTGTTTTTTTTCATATTGGGGGGAACTCTCCTCCTGGCTTCTTTTTGGTTTCCCCGGTTGTCTATTTTGAGCCAGATCTTAGAAACACGGTCAGTTGGACCTTAGTTGGAGGTTGTAGGCATACTAGTGTTTGCCAACCATCACGAGGGCTCCCATTAAGCGAACCCTTTCTGAATTGGCCACCTGTGTGTTTTCTGCGCTGCCCACCTGAACTCGGCAAAGTTGCATGGCCAATGGACAAGGCTGTGCCAGGATAAACAGCTGTCTGCCGCAACATACTTGCCAAGCAATCAGCCAGAAAGGGCTTTCCATGACATTCCCTTTTTGTTGGGTGATTCCAAAAAGAACCAAACCCCCCTTCCCAAACCCCCCCAAAACCCCCCCAAACCCCCCCCAAACCCCCCCCAACCCCCCCCAAACCCCCCCCCAAAAAAAACCCACACACACAAACAGAGGGAAGCACGGCGCCCGTACCATGCCTGACCAAGGTTTGCCTTTCTCTCGAATCCGGGGCGCCCTTTGCATACCGCTGGAGGCGTTCGTAATTCATCCATACTCATCCAAGAAAAGGCAAAGAGCAGCCCCGGCCAGTGCCAACCTCAGGCCAGTGCTCAGAAAGCTGCTTCACCTTCACATAGAGTCTTTTGATGACCTGTCGATGGCTGCAAGGAATGCGGCTGGCAGGGCACATAGCACGGCGTGGGCGTGTAGACATGCAGATCATGCAAGAATCCGTTGCCCACGATGTTCGCAAAAGTACTGAGAACGAGGATGACCAGGAACAGCTCCAAACATGGAACCGCAGTCTGCCATGTCTGGTCAACGTTCGATCATGGCACACCTCCAACGCTGGGACGGATGCTCTTTTCCGTGGAGAAGCAAGAGGCCGTGTTACTATATTTTGAACATGGTTGGAATAGGTATGATTATATAGGGGATTCAAAGGCAAGAGCCTGGGCGAATCGAGCGCCAAGATGTGCAGCACCATGCGTGAAACATGGGAAGCTGGGCTGGTGCTGATCTGAACATAGGGGGGTCGTTTGAAGGAAAACCGACTGGACACCACCCGAAAAAAACACAAGTTCTCTTGACAGGGTAGCCCTGATTTTATATGCGTGTCTATATATATATATATATATTGTATACAGATTTGAACATACACCGCATATATATATATATATTATACCCATCTGCCAAAATAAGTAGGTCATGGGCATAAAATGGGTATATGTCAGGGGTCTACGCGTGGGTACCCCTGTTTGATGGTTTTAAAGAGACACCACAAGCCCAACCCACCATTTCGGGGCTCAGATGCCCAGTGGCCATGGGAAAAAGGGCACCTTCTTTTTTGTTCGAGTCTAAAGGGGAACCGTTCCCCCCAAAAACAGAACAAACAGGCACCGCTGGGTAACAGAAGGGGGGGTTTCCTAAACAAAGACACACGATTCTTGGTCGAAGTTTTAATTGCTTCGCGGCACCTGGTCCTTCTCCTGCATCCTCGCCCGCCACAAGTCCAACTTGGCATCGACCTCGAAAAAGGCTCAGGGCCAGGGGTTTCTGCGCCGAAAACCGCCGGGGGGGAACTCGAGCTGCTCGAGTATTGTTGGCGGAAATCCGACATTTCTGGTTCAATGTGAGAAATGAAGGTAACTCTGGCTGATCGGGTTTTGTTAGAAAATCCGAGATGGCTGGTTCCATGGGAGAAAGAGAGAAACTAGGCCCGGGAACCCACTGGGCAACTGAGTACAAGCCTTCTGATACCACATCATGTCCTTTAAATGGAAAGTGTTACCTACCGCAAACCTTTGAGCTGGCCCAATGTTAGCCGGAAAAAAAAAACCCATGAGCTGGAAGCTAGCTGGTTCAGCCGAAAGAGACTCGCAGAAGCAGGCGCCCGCCTCTAGAATAGAAGGTTTAGACCAAACAAAAACCATTTGAAACATGGCTTTTTTGCGCATGGTTGGGAAACATGGTTGATGTCCCAATTGTTGATTTCACAAATGGTTGATTTCCCTAGCGAGATTCACTTTTGTTGTTAGCGGTGGCTGTCTTTGTCGAAACATACATCCTGAATCCGGTGGCCATGTTACCAAGCCCTACATGTAGGGCTTGGATCTCATGTGTTTGGGGTTGCACTAGAAACTATTCCGCAAATATATTGGTTGTTGCGGGAGGATGTTCCCGGATTGATCGGAGAAGGTTCCTTTCGCGCAGAGACGATTTATGTCAGAGGGTTCGTCGTCTAGTGGTACCGTCATGAGGATGGTACCGCCAAGGAAGAGCAACTGTTGACAGAGGCTATCCACCACACCAACCAGAAGTGAAGGATCCCGTCTTACATCAGCCACACCCTATACATCAACAAAGGGTTGACAAATCCTCGGTGCCCAATGTTGCTTCGTGGCATAAGTCCCAACGCTCGTCCTAAAGCTAAGTCGTTGAAAGTGACTTGTGTGCAAAAGCTGGTCTTTTCAGGAGGTCTGGTTTTGCCGCAAACAGCTACAACTAAACACCACAAGCACTATGAAACCGTGTAAGTTGGCATCACACTCAGATGCAACTTGTTCAAATCAAGTTCCTCATCTTCCCCCACGCATGCACTTGAGCAAATGGACATGTACCATCCACTTCTGCCATGCATTTATATAGGTCGCATAGCCAGTCCCAGGATTCCCTAATTCCTCATTGTCATGGCAAGCCATGGCATGAAGATCAGCAGGACGCGAGTAGAGCGCAGCTCGCAAACTAAGTTTTGGGCTGCCTCGTTGATCAGTTGAACTTCGTTGGCGACCTACAAGCCGGCTTCTGGCGGCAGCGTTGACAAATGCCATCTCAGTAGGTCCATTACCTCAGATTTGTTGTGGGGGCCACATTGCCTTTGACAACAATCCCCAACCGCAAGTGGATATGAATGAGGCGGGTTGGTAAACACACCCAAACTCACAAACTTGGACCAGAGAACAAAGGTGCGTCATGGGTTTTTATTTCTGCAACATGCCGCAGAGCTGCGCTGGCTGTGCAGAAAGGGATGGATAGGATGCATGCCCTATTCATTGCAAGCCAAAGCTGACGAATGATGGCTGTCTGAACTTTTCCTTGCTTCCTAGGTGCAATAGGGAATCCACAATGGTGAGCAATGTTCTCACAGGTGTCCACATGGTGAAAGGCTTCTCCCCATCCAACTCAGGCAAGGGAGGGCAAAGCAGCTCAGCAGCTCCAGGCACCCTGTGACTTGTTTCTGTCGCCGGTCAAGGTTGTGAAGGTGCGTCAAAAGTGTTTACTAGTTGCATGGACAGCCTTCAAGGAACAAACTATTTGAGACCCAGCATGGCTCATCAAGACCCAGTAATCGTTCATGTCAAAACAAACATGCTGGTGGTGTTGCTGGGTTTGTTTCTGCTGTTGCTGTTGCTGCTGCTGTTGTTGCTGCTGCTGTTGTGTTTGTTGTTGGTGGTCGTCGTGTGGTTGTTGTTCCTGTTGTCGTTGTCGTTGTCGTTGTCCTTGCCCTTGTCTTTGTCCTTGTCCTTGTCCTTCTCCTCGTCCTCGTCCTCGTCGTGGTCGTGGTCGTGGTCGTGGTGGTGGTGGTGGTGGTGGTCCGGTGGTGGTGGTGGTGGTGGTGGTGGTGGTGGTGGTGGTGGTGGTGGTGGTGGTGGTCCGGTGGTGGTGGTGGTGGTGGTGGTCCGGTGGTGGTGGTGGTGGGGTGGTGGTCCGGTGGTGGTTGTGGTCCGGTGGTGGTCCGGTGGTGGTGGTGGTGGTGGTGGTGGTGGTGGTGGTGGTGGTGGTGGTGGGGGTTGCGGTTGCGGTTGCGGTTGCGGTTGCGGTTGCAGTTGCGGTTGCGTTTGCGGTTGCGGTTACTGTCGCGGTTGCGGTTGCGGCTGCGGGTTCCCTCACAATGTAGTTGGGTGTCCTACACCAAAACGGTCTAATCCGTAAACCGCGCAATCCGCAATCCGCTAATCATTGGGGATTTGGTTTGGGACAGGATAGAAAACAAAGGTGAGTCACCGGGATGGACAAAGCCCGCACCAGTTGGCGGGTGGTTCATCCCAGCACTCACAGGGTTTCATCCCGCCTCTGTCCACCACCGTGCGGCCTCCGCGTGCGGCACCTTCAAAAGTGGCAACACGAAGCGGGGTACAGACTTAGCAAATGGGTGTATACTGGTTCAGGGTACCCTCTTACTTAGGTTGGCCTAAAAGAAACCAACAAGAAAATCAACAAATGCTGGGCCCCCCAATATGGCACATACACAAATGGACCCTATGGATCGAGCTCCTCTGATGTTGAGAGGCACCCGCGCAGCTGACCATTGCAATCCGACCGTCCGGACCTTCAAGCAACTGGCGCTTGGGTGCTTGATAGATTAAACAAGATTCATCAAATGACATCGGGGAGAGGCCCGACAAATCAGAATCGTTCCGCCTTGCCAGGCTTTCTCTTCAAACGCAGAATCTTCGGGGGTTGCCTCATTGCTGAGTGAGGCTACAGACTTTGCTCAATGGAATGCTGTCGTTGGGCGTTCGGATAATCCCAGAAGAAACTAAAAACAAAGGGGAACCAGTGCCTCTAAACAAGGCGGCCATGGTGACTATATAGCGGAGCGGCCATGTTGTGACTAGCAAAGGCAACGGCATTTGCTAATACAAAGGACATACAGGGAATGCCTCAGCACCATCCAAGCACAACATGCCCAATGCTACAAGGCTAATGCACTGTCTTTCGTAAGACATATGCATAACAAATGCAATGTGTATAATATATATATATATATACATACATATATATATATACTTATATTTATATACGCATATATAATATATATATATATATAGTACCCCCATATCAAAAAGTCAGCGCTCAACTCTTGGAACTCTGACGTGCTGCCTGTCACAACAACGAGCATATGTGTTCAAGTGTGTCTGTGTTTCTGCGAGTCTGTGCGTCGCTTTACTGAGCCAGCAACATGTTATGCATTTGCAAAATAAGATTCATCGCCGTTGTGTTGCCTAACAAATCTGAAGCTGGTTTTGGGGTCTTTTCGCCAACCTGCTTTTGTGGCAGCAGGCGTACCGAGCCTCATAGTTGGGTGTCCTAAGACAAGGGGGCGAGCTTCTTTGAATGGTGCTTAATCATGGATTACTGGATTTCCCCCTTAAACGTTGCAAATGACTGGTGGGATCCAACAAAATTGATGCTTTGGGAATTCTTGCAGAGCCAACCTCACAAGTGCCTGGTGTCCACAAAATCTCGCATTTTTTCAACATCAACCCGTTGCCAGGATCAACAAGACACGATTCCCGCAGACACGGGAAAGTACGACTGCTTCAGCGCATCCAAGCGCCCACGCCCCGCCGCAGTGCGGGCACAGCGCACGGAAGCCCTGGCAAGAAGTCCAATAGACACTTTTTGGAGGCTTTGAATCCAATTCGTGGTCATAAATAGATGGGTCTTGGCAACTAGTGGGTTAACGTAATGGTCTTAGTCTTGGGAATTGTTGAGTTGCATCAAAGACCCCTAGGTCTATGAAGAGCCTGGGCACGGAGGTTAGCAGTCAAATGATTAAAAAAAAAAACATCAAACTCCAAGGGCGTCTCAGGGATCTGAGAATCACAAAGAACATTACCACACAAATTGGATGGGGCACAAATCTGTACGCTGCAAACGTACCCGTTATATCCCCCATAGGTAACGCTTTGAAAGCACTGCCCCGTTATATCCCCCATAGGTAGCCCTTTGAAGGCACTGCTCTAACTTTGACAACTCTGAGATGGGCTCAGAACTCAAAACAGATTCCCGAAAGAGGTCAACCACCTTTAAGAGCCGTCGGCTAATGCTAAGGGTGCCTAAAACTAGTTCCATGCAACCCCGCACTTTGCCAAAGACTTCGAAGTCCGGTATCGAAACCATAAGGTTCCAAATTGACTTCACACTCCAAAGTTACTTGTAGCTGGGCGGCGTAGGATCTCGGTTCGGAATTCCAGTCCAAGCGAACATCAGTTTGAGGCTTGGAAGGTCGGGACCTGGGGATGAACTCTTCCAATTGTTCTAATGAACAGAGTTGATGCTTTTTCAATCCAACGGGACTGCAACGAAAAGCAACAAAAACCGCTGGGCAACTGGCAAACCCCCGCCGCCCGGGATCAAACCGCAAAAAAACAACGTGCCCGAGCGAGCCGCATCAGGACGGCCTGGCCGGGGTGCCAAGCTCTGACACCAGTGTTCTGCTCACTGTTCCAAGGACCTTGCATATCATATCTTCAACCTAGCCTGTCCAAAATCCGTAAACCGCATAATCTGCAATCCGCTAATCATTGGGGATTGGGTTTTGAACAAGCTAGTTGTCACCTTCACTCATGGGCGAAGGCAAATCCGGAAAGGCGAAAAGGTCGGCTTGGGGCAACTAAGTCCAAAGAGCCCTGAACTTCCCAAAAAAAGACCCCCAGTGGCTTGGACATGATTGGACTGGAGAAGGGCCTTGGGGCAGCGGTTTCTGTGGCCGCACAAAGGGCTGTGCGCGGCTCTGAAGTTCATGTGTGGATGTCAAACTGCTAGATCCTGACTCCATGGGAATCCAATTGTAGCGAGTTATTGGGGTCTAGATTTAGGCCCCTATGCATGATCATGATCATAAATGTCAGGCCTGGTCAACATCTAGCGCATGTACCGAATATATATATATATATATGTATGTATGTTCATTGTACAGTGTCTCAGCCCCCACGCAGTTGTCCTTCTCCGTTTCACTAACGCGAGTCATTCTTGAACCGTGCTTGCGGTGCATAAGCGCTTGTTCCCAAGCCTTGTCAGCCCCATTGCTTGCGCGTGCCTTAAACAACACTTCTCCCATCTGCTTGATGGCACGCTGTCCCGATACACTTGTGTAATCAAAGCATATGGACAAGAACAAACAAATGATCAAAAAAAGCTAGCGCACGATGCTTACGCGTCATGTTCCCTCAACATCCCTTCGCCCGCCGAGGAATATTTTTTTACACAACACTAAGCATGTGGAGGGTTGTCAAAATGGGAATCCCGGTTGGGCCATAAACTTTATATGTGCCCGCCTTTCAAAGAGGTCCAACAGGCAGTCCGACTATTTCTCGACAACCGCCGCACACCGATTGGGACGTTTGGTCCCAGGTCCAAATACGGTGCCCCGCCTTCCATGCGCCTCGACAGGCCTGGGCGGATTCGGAAACCCAGAGCCGTTCTTTTTGGTCTGCCAGTAAGAAAGACCAGGACTCCCACACTGAAACGGGCTGGAGGGGAAACCCCGCTTTTGTGATGACTGGACATCTCCCCGGTTACAGTAGTCATGGGGCATGCGGTTTTCCTGGACCATCAAAAAGGTGGATGCAGTTTCCTGCTCAACCCCAATGATCAGAGGCTGCCCAAATTTGGCGGCACCAAACTGGTTGGCTCTCTGGCGCCTCCCCTTGAAACAAACCAAAAATAGTTCTCAAATGAAAGGAACCACCTTGTCTATGTCCAAGGACTTCGGGCCTTTCGTGATTTTGCAACAAAGGTCGTGTGGAGATCTGACGCCCCTGTTCAGATTCTGTTTCCGGGAGGTGCGCAACTTCAGGCTCAAATGTTGCCCTTGCAAGCCTCACTGGTGCACAGGAAGCAGAAATCCGCTCCAACCAAAAAGGTTTGGCCTTCCATTGCTGACTGCATGATGCATGAGTAGCAGATTTCGGCCCAGAGGTACCTGCTGCTCCAAAAAGAACTGGGACAATTGGGCTTCACTTGTGGAAATCTTGGGATGTTGCATATTCGAGCAAACCCATAACACTTTCCTATTCGCAAAAAAAAAGGCTCCAACTGTTTGTTTACTGGTCTTCGCACAGGTCGCTTATCATTTGCTCCCCCAAAAACCAGCCAGAAACCAAACTTCGAGTCCAGAAACAGAGTGAGAAACGCTTCTCCAGTCCTGCCACTGCCACCCCTCCCCCCCCAAACGCCCCAACACCCCAGTGCCCCAGCGCCCCAACGTCCCAACGCGCGCCTGCCACGCTCTTCACTGCCGCATTGGCCTTCGCCACGGCGGCAAAGGTCTCCAAGCCTCAGAAAATCTGCAGACTCGCCCAGAGAACATTTCCCGCTGTTCCCATTTCCCAGTTCCGTGTGGCTTCCCGCCGGAGAACCAATTCTTGGTCTGTACCCCCAAGAGAAAACGTTGCCTGTGTGTTTGGTTCAATTTAGATAGGGAAAACCGACAAAAAAGGAACGCACACGCACACATGGAATCCATCGCAAGACTCAGAAACATGTGCAAATCCTCTAGGTTGCATTTTTTCTCAATAAGCCGCCTGAAGCTGAGCCACTCGAATTACTTTCGGGGTATGTTCTGGCGCTTAGACATAACCAATTGGCTTGGTTGCTCAGTCACTCGGTGTCCAGCTAGCTTCCTTGAAAGCAAGTACCACCGCTACCATTCCAGGGTGATTGATCGTCCAAACGAACTTAAGGGACAAAGACAACGGTTTGGACGCTTGCTGTCCTGAGCAATCAAATGATACGCATATTTAATCTGCACAACACAGCAAAGAGCTTTACCTGCGGATCACGCAAGCAATGCTCTGATTAGATTGCCCGGTCCGCCATGTGCCAGTGGAAAACTGAGCCTGTATCTCTGAGAACTCTTCCGCGCAAAACCCGCCAAAGGAGAGAGCTAACAACCCAAAGCACCTCTATCGCATGGCTTGACCAGCGTCAGGCACACCTCCATAGAGGGACATAATACAAATAAGCAGCCATGTATTAAACTATCGCACATACGTGAAGTTGCTTAGATCTGGTAATCATGCCTGTATATCAGTTGAACAACCGGACCTATGCGGGACTGTCTTTAAACCGGTCCATGGCGGGGTGCGTAAGCAGTTGCAGAGATACTCCTTTAATTGTTCTCCTCTTGAGAGATACCAGAATAAGGTTGCTGAACATCATTTTGTCCCCAGCTGGTGCCTAATGTTGACCCCGGATTAATAAACCCCTGTTTATGAATATATATTAATACGGGGGTGTTCAACTGGTTTTAGTGGGGATTGATCACTTTTGGAGGAAAACATGCCCTTATTAATAAACGTGTCCCTCCAAAAGTGATAAATCCCCACTAAAACCAGTTGAACACCCGCGTATTAATATATTCATAAACTGAGGTTGACTAATCCGGGGTCAACATTAGAGCCCATCACTCGTGCCAATCTCAGCTTCCGGCTGGACGGGGAGCTGGGCGAGGCCGGGGCTGGAGACCTCGACTTTTCGTGTTTCGCCCAGGGAAACCAAAAGGAAACCGCCGGAAACCAACCGGGGCAAAGGAAACACGGGGCCATACTGTGGCTGGACGAAATCCATTTGAAACCATGGTAAACCATGGTTTGTTGGTATTTACAGGGGAATCATCATTCTAGGGTTTCTTGGGTGGTGCAGGATTTCGTCCATCCACAGTATGGCTAGAGTCAAAACCCAAATCGGTTAGCCCCCAGTGAACATCCCAAACTAAAATAGGTTCTAAAATGGGTGGTGCACCGAAAGCCCCAAAATGGTACCATTGGTGACCCACGGCCCTGTGTTTTTTTTAGGACACCCTGTTCACTTTGGTTGAGAGAGAAACCAGAAGGACTGCTAGCCTTGTTTTGGATGCACATGTCTACTTCAGCGCTTGTCCCCAACCAAACTTGATGTGCTTCTTGAACCTGAAACATGCAATATCTGACCAAAAGAGATCCCATGTCAGCTGCAGATCCATGGCACAGCATTTGCATCGGGAACAAACCAAGGGAACTTACCGCTGTTGCATTTAACTTTTATGGTACGGGCTTGTCTTTTCGGAGAGTACGCACAGTGAAGCTGTCTCAAGCGCAAAGCAACCGGAAACCAACCTGCTTGACGGCTGCCGTATTTGACCATTAAAGCTTTCGGTAGAGCTCTGGCATTTGCAAGCATTCATCCCTTTCTGGACTATGAACGGGACCTTGGAAGCAACAGGTAGGACGGCTCCCCTGTTGAAACCTGCGGCCCAACCAGCGGAGGTGTTGATGAGCCGACACAAACTCTTCTGAACAACACATTCCCTTGGCAAGTTCCTCGTGAAACTTGCGCCAGCCCAAAAACATGCCTTGGTCCTTGGTACACAAGTCCTTACAACAACCTGCTCATGAAGTGCCATGCGGTGGTGACTACAAATAGAGGACCTCCTGTCAAATGGTGCTTACAGAGAAGTCTCAAGGACATCAGGTGGACGCCATACAGTCGCGAGTTCCGCGAGTCGCTACCAGCTACAGGTGGATCTCTTAACAAGAAACGCACCCCGAAGGAAAGGGATCCCTTTGGCCTTTGTTTGGTGATCAGACAAGTGTAACGAGAGTTTCCCGTAGTACTGGTTTGAACTGTGCTTCCTTGAGGAATGCATGCGCTGCGCATGAAAAGCTAAGAACAACTGGTAAAAAGCAGAGGCGAAAAGTGGGAAAGATCGAGATAAAAGATTAAAAAAAGTGGCCCTGATGGCTGCGGGAGGGTTGCAGGTTTAGTGCTAATCTTTGATTCCACAATCGTGGCTGGCTACTGAGTCGTCAACTGGGCGTGTGGTTTGCAGGCACGTGCTGAGTCATCTTTCCGGGCCGTTTGCGCGTCTTGCGACCCTGCTTCATCACAGTCTTGAGCCGGCTACAAAAACACCACTCAACGCCACGCACTCACATTCACGCATCTCTTGTGCAACAGCGACTAAATCAGACTGCTTTCTACATCGCGCAGAATGACTAGCAGTATCAGTCAGGGTGCGAGCGGTGCTCGGCGGTTCAGCCAGCCTCGCGTTTACGTTTCAGCGCCATGGCTACTTCTACGCAGGAGCCCACGGTCGTTCGACCGACTAAACTCAAACGAACAAAGATATTAACGCAACAAAAAAAAAAAAAACACAGGAAAACAACGGGAAAAAAAACAAGAAACAAATCCAATCTCGAATAGGATACACCAAACAAACGATCCTCAGTTTCCGAACCTGCGCAGTCTCAAGTCGCTCATCTCACCCTGGGGGCCGAGCGGGATGCTGGGACCTAATGGCGCCGAACCGGGGTTGTCCCTAAGTGGCGCTAAACGACTTTTGAAGCACGCCCCTGATTTCGTGTGAAAACGTCTGCTTCTTGGAGCAAGAACTGGGACGTCGGTCCCTGTGTACTCTGGATGGACAAAAATCACGCGAGGCAGCGGCCGGGATGGATGCCCTAAAAACAGGGCAAACCACCGACCAACTGGTGCCAGTTTTCCCCAACACGATATGAAACCGATGGTTGCTGCCCCCTTATACGCGACTCTATAGAACCCCCCTGCCGGCAGAAGCCCAGTTTCCAAGCGCACCTTTGCTGGTAGTAGGGAGCCGCAAAAACAAAATGGAACAACACATGAAACAACGGGGATCCACTGAGCAAGTTGGGGCAGCTGGAAGGGCACGCTTCTGTAAATGGTTTCAAAACATGACATCTCCTTACCCCTCAGACATAGAGTCACCTGTGAGCTGCGAGTATACCATGTCTCAGCTGACCCCTGTCTCCCCAACCATTTGAAACCGTTTGTCAAGGCACTCGGCCGACTCATCTGCTGCGACTCCGTTCAGGCCCAACCAAATTGCAACTTCCTGCTTGAACGAAAGAGCCAGGAAGTACAGCCGGCTTTAGTAAATCAAGCGCTTCGCGTTGCAAATCTTGTCTGTCGCATTTAGCCGACGAAACCCCCGCTCGAGCTCCACAAAGATTTACCGCCGGGCCCATCGACTGGCGCCACTTTTAGGGCCACCAAAGCTAAACTTGGTTGGCAATTCGCGCGGACGTCCTTTTCCAGCCAATGGCCACGGTTGGCGTGGACAAGGGTTGTTACATGTTTCATCTGAGCATTGCACCACTTGAAGGGACAACTCTGCGGCCATGAGACCTCAAGGTGTGAGGCATGAAAAGGGAAATCTGCATATCCGCAAACTCTGGTCCCCTTAAGGTGGGTGTTGAATTGTGGCCAAAATCACACCGGCCATGTTTCATGGTTCCGGACAGACCTCATAGAAAAAATCCTTGACTGAGGAAATCAGACCACCGGACCCTGCCTGACTTGTCGCTGCTCTCTTGCCATGCTATGGATGGCCTCGGCTTTTGCGTCACGACATTTTACAGATGCACCCTTCCAACACGGAACCTGAAAAACTGACAGGCCCTTTGACAAGGCAAAGGGGGTCTTTCATGCCCACCCCGTAAGTATCGTTTGCAAGGCTTTGTAGGCCGATGGCCAAGCTTTCGATTGAAAGGCTGGGAAGTTCACGGATGTGAAATTGATTGCTACATCTTCCGCCGAGTCACGCAGCAAACTCAAGTTGAATCAACGAGGCCCGAGGCGAGCCAACCAGCTTCTGCCATGCATCGTCACTTGAAACACTTCCAAAAACAAGCCTCTATAATCCTTTCGGTCGCACACCCCCTCGGTGTACGAGGCCGCGATAAACTTTGCACAGAGTTGTTTCACATACCCGAAAGTATTTCATACATAGCCATTTCCTTATCAAGACTTGCAGGTTGGAGTGATTTGCGGTGGGATGGTGTTGGCGCATGACCTCTGGTGTTGCGCTTGGTTTCAAAAGCGGAGCCCTTAGCGTCTGAACAGATTCTGTTTTGAGCTTCATCCCGGCTTGGCTTTTCAAAAGCGGAGCCCTTCAAAAAAACGTCTGAAGAGATTCTGTTTTGAGTTCCCCGGTTTGGAAAATGCAAGTGTGTACTAATATCACACAAGGACTTGTCAATACAGACTTTTAATTGGCCGACACCTGTTCGGCCGTCGCTTCAGGTGGCAGTGAATGAAAACCTCTCTATACACAAGAGAGCTGGGGCATACACCCTTGTCCCCATCCGCAGCGTACCGGCGTTGGGCAAAGAAGGTCTGTATCTTTCAGCGCTCGTTTACCATGCGGGGGTCGCTTGGGCCCCTTGAATCCCTTGGCCCGATGAGGTCACTTGGGTCACTTGGGTCACCTTCCAGGGATTCCACTACCCTTTTGCCACCCAGGGGAAATCGTACAAGAAGCAAGCAAGCAAGCCAGCCAGCCAGCCAGCCAGCCAGCCAGCCAGCCAGCCAGCAAGCCAGCAAGCAGGGGTGGTTGCTTGGATGATGGATGTATACATAAACACATCCAGGTGCCTGAGGCCTGCGCCGGGAGGCGCCTGAGACGGGCGCTGCTGAGAGCACAGGACCACCAAAGGGGCCCTTATCAAATTTCACACCTGCAGAGCCAACAATTACCATAGTAGGCGGTTCTACGTGGAAGCAATTCATTGGCCATGGTAGGCGGTTCTACTTGGTTCAACAAAACTTGAAGCAAGGCCTACCTTTTCCTGGGCTAGCATGGAAGCTCCCATGACCCCTTTGGAAGACTTAGTTCCATGTACTACACTCTTGCGGTCAGTGACGTCCATGAGGTCGCTATTTGCTCAGACTACTCAGAAGAAGCAGCCGAGAAAAAAATCAAAACCGCAACGCAAAGAACGCCATTGGCACGTAAGCATTGGTTCAAATTGCTCCCCAACCTTACTTGCCCGGGAACACCTATGGCACCTTGTTGGCAGGATCCGTTTCCGAAATGGAACCCATTCAAAACCAAGCACGGAAACCTCCATTTGCGGGAGAATAACAACGAAACAATCCTATTGCCTATGGTGATAGGTTCCCTGTAAAACCACCATGAATTACCAAAACAACAGACGACATATAGTCTTAAAGAAAATGGATTTCCGACATATTCATGCCGCTCAACTGTGCATCGGCCCATCTTCGCAGCGAGCGGCCGAAGTTCGGGCAGGTCTCTGGAAGGCTCCTGCGCTGGCAGATCTGCTGGCGAATCGCCGGCCCCAAACCGAGGGGGGTTCCATGCTAGGCGATTCCGCATACATGCGCTGCAGGAAGCTTAGAAAAGCTTGCGGCTTCAGCGGATGAATCAGAGGGTGCGGTCAAGGGCCGATGTACTTCAATTGCCGGCAATGTCCGCCCGAACCGCGAATTCTGAGTGACGAGAGGCCACCTTCCGGACCTTGGAAGCAAATGAACAATGGGCACTCGCAAGTCATTTGGAGGCACTCGTCTGAATCCTTTTGGGACAGGGGCCGCTTTTGGGGGTTCTTTCTGGCTGTCTGCTGAACATGTGTGTGTGTGTGATGCAGTTCATTTAAACAAAAAGGCTGCCACATGATTATCCCAGGCATGTGTGCTCTACCGTACGACCCACATGATAACCTGGGACCCGCAAGGCGGCACCTACTGGGTCTTTTTGAGAGAAACATAACCTTCGCGGCTTGCTTCAGATACAGTAGTCAATGGTTCTTCTTTTGCTGGACAAACTATCGCTTTTCATCACACCCCACCGCAAGCCAAACACTGAACACTGGGCATATAGAGATGCTCACAATCGACAAAAACCGCAGATCGTTTGCAACACAAACCCAAAGGGGTCAGTCATACACGGGCACCTCTTGCCAAACGAAGACACTCTCAACGGCTCCTACCCGAGGACACCTGGCGTGGCACGACTGGCTGAAAGCTTGGCGGCAGATTCCTGTGGAGAAGGGTTCCTGAGAATTCCCCAAGCCGCTTCCAAACCCTTTCAACATGTCCCCGCTTTGTTCTCCCCTGCAACTCTAGAATCATATTGTTTCCTTACAAGACAAATCCTATGCCCTCCCAACTCATTGCACCAACAAAGAATGAAGGGAAATCCCTGTACACTTGGAAGGAATCACAACAGGAGCTTGGCAAGCTTGCATGCGAACACTGTTCAATCATCAGCTCTGTTGGGGTTTCAGAAGTTACCGGTTGCTCAAGCGGCCATGGCTTCATCCGTGAATAGGGTTCCTGATGGAGGAGTGAGGCCCAATTTGGCGTTGCATCCTGGGCCCGATACATGGGCTAGATCCTTCCTTTCTGATCCCCCGCGAACGCACTCAACACTACCAGCTGTACGTACACATCTAGCAACAAGAGAACACATCAATATGTATAGGCCTGTTTCATGCTTGTAATGCGCCACTGGATGCGTCAGTTGGATCGCTTTGAGATGGCGGCTTCGCTTGTTTGCTTTGGTGATGGACGGCTGAGCCATGCTCCTGAATGCCTGGCTTAGCTCTGATGTACCGGTATTTGCCCAGTATTGGACAACTGGGACCTGTCAACAATACTGCTGCATACCTTAGGATTCTGAGTTTCTGATGTCGTCACATGAAAGCCAGGCATCTCCTTAACCCTGGAAACCACAAAAGGCCAAGGAAACTTCTCAGTTTTGTTGAAAAGGTACTAAGAACAATTCTGGTGGGCAAGGGAGCCAGAATGATTAGCCCTAGTAAAATGGACTTGTCCAGAGCTTCCAACATTGGCCCCGGATGAATAAATAGGGGTGTCCCTGGGTTTAGTGGGGATTCATCACTTTTGGAGGGGAACGCACCCATAGTAATAAACTGAGGTTGACTAATCTGGGGTCAACATTGCTCACATCTCCATAGCCCCACATTGGCTTCCTTCACCAGGCCTCCAAAAAAGGACAGTGCGCTTACTGTAACAGGGAATGCTGAGGAATGATAGGCTCCCCCTCGGTTTTTGCCTGAAAAAAATCCAAGCGAGTCCACCCAAATCTTGTGAACCCCCAAATACATGCAATGGCAAGAGTTAGATGCTAGTTACTTGCCAAGTTGTGATGGAGAAAGATTTGTCCTTTTGTTTTCGAAGGAGAGAACACATACTTCTAAACAAAAAACAAACAAAGAGTGCGTCTGGGCCACTGGGCTCAACATAACCTGCGAGCCATCCCAAAGGCTTCAACATGCTAAGTGCGGGGGGGAAGAAATGCCAAGGGAACAAGAGCGGCCGGAAACGAGACAAGGAACAATCTTCAGTAGCCCAAGGGCACCTCAAAGGACCCGCTCCTGCTCCTTGTTCACTAAGAACAAGACAAACAAGCCGCAGATTGAACTGAGCTCCCTTGCCGTCATGGCAAAAGTTGAGCACGTCATATGGGTGCTTCCAAAATGAACAAATAAGCCATATGGAGGCGGCGGGTGCCTCAGATATCTCTGTTTACATGAACTATGAATCAAAATTAAAGCCACCATTGTTTAGAATACCTGCCTATCATGATATAACAAATATGCGTATCATTTGACATTTCACCCCTGACGGGAATTCCAGTGGACTAAAGTTCATATAATCAGGTAAGCAATTGGCCCATCGCAGGATTAGAGATTGAAGGGAACCCCCCATTGTACCAAAGTCAAACACGTTTGCACTGTCATGTTTACCTTGTTCGCCCCTGAAGAATTGGGGCATACACTCTCCAGTTTCAGTTGTTCGCATCCGAAGAATCAGAGCATGATGGCAGCATGGTACAGGTAGGTTGTCTACACACCCGCAAGTTCACACACATGAATGTTTCAAGAGATCTGTTTGAAGCCCCCAAACCCCCAACTTCGTATTGACCCCTGATAAATAAGTTACCTTCAGACATGCATTAATCAAAGGGGCCACCTTAGAAGCTATAAATCTCCTGAAAACAAACATTGGCTGATTCATGCCTGGATGTTTTTCACCAGAGCTTACCCGAATTATTGGCATGTTTTTCCCTCTGAGGCGATTGAAAGACGAATCACGGCCACCCTCTCCAAGCATGGCGCTGCGACGGGGGCAGCTCCTGAGGGGTCGAACAGCTTGACATGTACCGCATGTTGTTCCGTTCCCAAAAATGAGGGTTGCACCGCACCTCTGACAAGCTGTGAACTATGAAAAGGTTAGTCAAAACAAAATGCACATGGTCTGGCGCACGAAAGGCGACTGTTTGTGTTTGGGTACACCCCAACATACCATGCAGGAACGCATGGACATGACAAATACAACTTGAACTAGTCAAAGGAAGTTTAGAAAGAGCTCCCGTGCTCTCTGACAGGAAGACAAGAGAAGAACAAGCACGCGCGATACATCAAAAACGATGTCCAAAAGGTGCAACCCTCTGCATGCGGGTTTCAGTTCTTTCAGATGCTTGAAAGCTAGCTTGGTCGCGACGCGGTGGGAGCTCGTTCGGAGCTCGTTCGGACCCGGGCCCATTGGTACGGACGCGAGCTC